CTTTCTTTCAGGGCATAAGTGGAAACATTAAGGTCTTCTGTGCAGCACTTCAGCTGTGACTCTGAAGCTGAGCTCATCTCATTCTTTCACCATTTTGTCTAAAATAAGTAGGACCAACCAACCAATTTCCTTATATTCCTCATTCTGACAAAACTGCAGAGAAGGATTAAACATGCAATCACTTAGAGCCTCACTTCTCACCAATACTTGATCTGTTGGTGGTGGTATTTTGTGTATTAATATTGCCACCTCACACCACAGATTAGCTGTACCCTCTTTACTAATGGAGGTAGAATCATCAGTACCTTTACAGTTAACCAGATATAAGAATCAATTTAGAAAAACCACCTTTACAACTTTGTTTCTCTGCAACCACTCATGGTACCACGTGTCTTAGGCTGAGTTATCTAGAAAAGCAAAACCAGTGAAGCGTATATATATAGACAGAGCAAAAGAGAGAGCTTTATCTCAAGGAAGTGGCTCATGCAGTTGTAGAAGCTGGCAAGTCCCAAGCCTGTGGGTAAGATGTCAAGCTGGAGGTTTCTCCTGACTCCCGTAGTCCAAGGACCTGACAAACCAAGATCAGCAGGCACTGGTTCAAGTTCAAGAACAAGAAGTCAAATGATCCAGATCACAGCAAAAAGCCAGAGATCTTTGCCAGGATGTTCATATATATTGGAAGCAGGCCACACCTCTAAGGAAACCCCCTTTCAACTGATTAGCTGCTCCCAGCAGATCTCATCATGGAGGTGATTATATCAGATCTCATCATGGGGGATAACTATAACTGCTAAACCACTGAGAATCAGGACACAGCCAAGTTACTATCACAAGCTGAACAGATCCCTGAGTAGTGCACATGGTTAATTAGCTCAGCTGTTGATACAGATAAGAGGGTTGAGTCTTCCCAGAGGTGGCACAGATGAAAGGCCTGATGATCTACTTCTGAAAAGTCAGCCCTTGAAAACCCTAGGAAGCATAGTTCTACTCTGATACTCGTAGGGTTGCCATGGGTTAGAGTCAACTCACGACTGACCACTGGTTTAGTTTTGGTTGTATATTACATACCAATGTATACTGATGCTTAGGCTAAGGTCACTTGAAAGCTATAATGCCTGATGTTTCCCCATTCTGAAAGCAGAAAAACATTCCCAAATACATCTTACATACCTTTATTTTTTATTATGTCAGCTTTTGTTGTATTTTTTAATCATATAACAATACAGAGACATAATTACCTTGCCAGTCACTTATACCACAATCATGAGAGAATAAATGCAGTTACCCACCACACAATTTGGTTAACCTTCAGCTACAGCCCTTCGCAGCAGCTACAATTGGCCCTTTCTGGCTCCACATTCCTAATTTATATCTCTACCATATTCTTCATAAAATATATTTTGAATCAAAAATGAGAAGAAATTCTGGGCATCTCAGGATTCTTGCTCTTCCTGCACATCTATTTTTTGCAATAGCAGGGAAAAAAAATGGAGTAAGAAATAGAAAATAGCAGAAACTTTTCAAAGCATTATTTCTTTAGGACAGACAAGTAAGAAAGAGGTCTGAGTTATCAGGTTTATATACTATTAAAGTCCAGAGACAAAAGAAAACTAACTGCCAAGCCTGCAACTCAAGAATTCTGTCTCCAGTGACAAACTGCTCCTGGATACTGGCTCAGAATCAGTGGGTTAATTATTATAAAAAGAACTCAATTTGTGATCTAAGAATTATGTAAGCTGAAAACTCGGAGGAAATAATTATTTGTCAATAGTTTACAAGAAGAATACAAGAATTCTGCTTCCTAATCTGGCTTTGGCCAAGAGACAATGGGCTCCTGTCACTGTTGGATTAACATAAATTAAAACATCCAATCATTAAAATACCTAATCTCTAGACCCAGTGCCTTCAAAATTCTATCACATTTCGGTATTATCGTCCCACTGGAGAGTAGAAACCCCAGAGCACACTTCCTAGTCTTACATGTAATATTTACAAGTGTGTCAAGAATAGTGGTCAAGAATAATGGTCTTGAAAGGATGAACTTTCTAAAACACAGGAGTTACCAGTCACATGTGACTCTTGAGCACTTGGCATGTAGCTAAATTTTAAACTGTAACTTTAATTAGTTTAAACTTAAATAGCCACATGTGGCTAAAGGGTATAGGATAGTGCAGTTCAGGATGCTACAAAAGTTGACTTTAGTAAAATAAAAATACATGTGAAACAAATGAATCTTTTCTTCCTTAGAACACAACCAAACAGCCAGAGATCACATTATTTGTTCAAAAACAATCTATCTATGGGTAAACGCTGGAGGCCAGTAATGATCTATCTCCACTCCATAGGGCAAGGGAAAATTGGGTAATTCAATGGAAACTCAAGCTTTAAGATCTTAAGTGTCCTTTTGTTTATTCCCAGGATTACTCTTTCCTTTGAAACTATTCCTATCTTAAATAAAATTTTTAAAATGTCTTCTTTTCTCCATTCTTGGTGGATTCCAGTGGACAGATCCAATGATCTGCTTATCTGGGTCTTCCATCCTCTAAACTAGGAGGTTGGCTTTTTCCCTGGACATTTGGGCAAACACACCAGTAGCACAAAGATCATAGGCTGCCTTAGTTGTAATGGTCTATTTTTTTTTTTTTTTAAAGCAAACTTTGGGATTCAAGAGGCAGATGAATTTGGAACTGAAAATGGAGGGATAAAGGTCATTTCCCCTTCAGTTTTTCCAGGTCCATTCATGCAGAAAATTCTCAGCTTCAAGAGACTCCAAAGACTTTTCTATGTGAATTTTCCGATGGTGATTGAGGTAGGCACTTCTGCTGAAGCATTTCTCACACTCAGCACATTTGTAAGGTTTTTCTCCTATGTGGGTCCTCCGGTGCCTGATTAGGTTAAAGCTTTGACTGAAGCATTCACCACAATCAGGGCATTTATAAGGCTTTTCTCCTGTGTGCGTCCTTTGGTGAATCACCAGGGTGGAACTCTGACTAAAAGTTTTCCAGCACTCAGAACATCTGTAAGGTTTCTCTCCTGTATGTGTTCTCTGATGTCTAATAAGATGGGAGCTAAGGCTAAAACTCTTCCCACACTCACAACATTTATATGGTTTCTCTCCTGGCTGGATTCTGCATTCTTCCATCATATCACAGTTCTGACTCAAACTTTCTTCACATTCAGAACTTCCATAGGAATTCTCTCTTATGTGTGTTTTCTGGTGTGTAGTAAGGTTTGAACTTCGACTAAAATTCTTTCCACATTCTGGGCACTGGTAGGGTTTTTCTCCTGTATGTATTCGTTGATGCTTTATTAGAGTAGAATTACAACCAAAGCTTTTTCCACACTCAAGACATTTGTAAGGCTTCTCTCCTGTGTGTGTCCGCTGGTGGCGAATCAGGCTGGAACTCTGACTAAAACTCTTCCCACAATCAGGGCACTTATAAGGCTTTTCTCCAGTGTGAGTCCTCTGATGTTCTATCAGGACATAGCTGTGGCTGAAACATTTCCCACATATAGGACATTCATATGGTTTTTCACCTGTATGTGATCTGTGATGCTGAATAAGGTGAGAGCTGCTACTGAAACGCTTCCCACACTCAGGACATTTATAGGGTTTCTCTCCTGTGTGAGTTCTCTCATGGATAATAAGATGGGAAGTATTACTGAAGCTTTTCCCACATTCACCACACTGGTAGGGCTTCTCTCCTGTGTGTGTTCTCAGATGCTGCATCAGGTGAGAGCTGTTACTAAAACATTTTCCACACTCAGAGCATTTATAAGGTTTTTCTCCTGAGTGGGTCCTCTGGTGAATACGCAAATGAGAACTATTATTGAAGCTTTTCCAACATTCAGGACATTTGTAGGGTTTGTCTCCAGAGGATGTATTCTGCTGGAGGGAGAAATTGGCATGTTCTTCTAGGTCCCATTCCCAATGATTGGATTTTCCCTCCTCTTTTCCTATAGAATTTTCCCACTGACTCTCTGACTTGCCATCATTCTCAAAGGAATCATGACACCAAATCTCATCTCCTTTGGACAATGCCAATAGAGTTTCTTGTGCATCCTCATGCTTAGAATTTTGTAGGACATCTCTCTTAGACCATTTTGAGGGTTTCTCTTTAAGCTTATTGGCCTTAAGGTTATTGTGTTGAGCAGTTTCCAAAATATTCTTACTCTCATCTCCTGAAAGAATAAAGAAATATTCTAAACATATTCCCTAGTGTCTTCCAGGGGAGAGGGAATTCTGAATCGCAGTAGAATAAAAAGAACAACAAAGCAAAACCTCATAAATTATTTTACATAAAAAAGTTTTGTAATCTAGTTTTACTTGTTTTATTCTATGTGTTCACCAGAAGATCACTTAAAACATTTTTATGGTGAAATTTTTGTACTTAGTAGCAACACTAATGGACTTGAACAGTTGTCAGCAATTGCCAACAGGACTGTTAATCTAAAAGTAAGTACTTTTACTTACTTTTAATAGTAAGCATTAAACTTTTAATAGTACGTATTAAACTATTCTAGAAAAAAGGAGATCCAAGCAAAGGAGAAACTGAGTAGGTGCCCATCTGAAGTAAAAACTACATAATACTTTAGTTCAAATCTGAGCAAATATAGAAACAACAATGATAGCTATAATGTATACAGAATAGTAGCTTACACAGGGTATCTAATTATTCCTAAAAAACATCAGGCAGATACTACTTTTTTTTTTCCTTAAAGATGAGAAAACTGAGGTTAAAACCGTTAACACAGCTTATAAGTGAGAGAATAAGGAATCAAATTAAAGTTTGTCTCATTCTAATGCCCTGTTCTTTTTACAACAGTCTGTAGTTTACACATCTAATATTTCACTAAGAATTCAGATCATCTTCTTAATCCCTCACCTGCATAAGAGCTTTTCAAACTCTTTCCCTCCTTGAAGCCTTTAGAATCTGAGACCAGCAGTTCTTTCTCTTGCTCCATGGTAATGATCACGGCCAGGTTAGGGACATCCATCCTGAAGAAAGAAACAGGTCATGCTTGGAGGCATTTATTAAAGTTTATTCCTCCTCTTTTCTTTCCAACTGTTGCAACAAACAATTTTATGCAGAGAATCTTCTGTGCCCCACATTGAAAATAAGAAAGATGGTCTTAAGTCTTTTTAGAAAATCTTATCTCATATGCAAATGTTTAGAATTAACAGTTAATCCAGTTTACCTTTTCTAAGGAAACAGCAATTTAAAACATTAAATTTTCAAATTAAAGGTCTGAGGACTAAGCTTCAACCAAAAAAAATAAAAAAGAATACCAATACCTATTGTCCACCTAAGAGCTTAGAAACACTGGCATGTTCTTTTAATTTAAAAAACAAAGTAGTCTTTTGGATAACACACCAATAATAAAGCTTATACAAACTACAAGGACTCAATATGCAGGCATAAGAAGCATTTTAAATGCTCAGAAAGGAAAGAGAAGAAAAAGCATTCTGTTAGTTTCAAAAGAATAACCTGTCCTTGAAGAAGGAAGAAGACTTTGAAGTCAATTTCCAAGAAAAGTTAGAATTTATATAATCAGTATAAGAAATTAGGACAAAGCAGAAGAGAAGTAATTATAACCAATAACCCTTACAATAATAGGGAGGCTTAAGAGGGATCTCTTCTTTGCCCCTTACTCTCTAAGTCTGTAATAACTGCAATATCCATTCCAGCCTAAACCTTATCTTCTGGGACCAACCACAATCCTTGACCTACTTTACCTATTGCCTGCAAGTCGATTCAAACTCTTAGCGACCCTATAGGATACAGTATAACTGCCCATAAGGTCTCCCAGGCTATAAATCTTTACAGAAGAAGACTGCCACCTCTTTCTACTGTAGAGAGACTGGTGGATTCAAACCACCGACCTTTCAGTTAGCAGCTAGGTGCTTCACCACTGTACCCCAATGGCTCCTTTGATCTACTTTAAGGGACCACAAAATGTGATTTGCCCCTGGAAGGTAGCTGTTTATGGACTTTGCATTCATCTGAGGATCTAAATAATGGCATCATTTGGAGAGAAAACTAAAAGAAGGCTAAATGAAGGCACATATCGAAAAAATACTTGGTGTAGGACTATTTTCACCTTGTTGGTGTTACCTGCCAGCCAGTGAACTAAAGAATGTGTGCGTATTATTTCTCATTTCATTCTCACAATAGCTCTCCGAGGTAGATGAACAATTACCAGCATTTTACAGATGAGTAAAAAGGATGAAGAAAGTTTCCCAATGTCACACACCAGTAAATGGTACAGCAGGGTTCTGCCCCAAGCCTGCTGGACTTGACATCCACACTTGTTTTATCTATTACAGTAAACTACAACTGACAGTAGAGTTGGCACAATTCAGACTACGGATGATCCTCAGAACACCTTTATTTTGCAATATAGTCAGACTTTTGGAAAACAGATTTACCTCCCTAGAGTTCAGACCAAAGGGAGTTTGCATTCCCTAAGTACGCCCAGCAAGCCAGGGCTTTGTTTTGGGCAAAGATGAAACTAGCCTAATTTACACATGTCCCAGTGGTATTTGAGTGAACACACACACGCACACACACACACAGCCCTTAAAAAAAAAATTGAAAAAAAAAATTGTTCAGAGTAAAATTTTTGCTATCTGAATTATTGTCCCAAAATACACCCAAAAGAAGCAAACGTCTGGATAAAATGTCCATCATTTTCTCTAACAACGTCAGTAGTAGAAGAACCTTTCAGAACAGTGGGTCAGCGAAACAGCTGCAAACGGGAGGTCATAAATGATATTAAACGGCTGTCTTAAGATGTCACTGCACTGAACAAGGCAGTTTTGACCGTCCTACAATAAACGGGGTGCAGCGGCGCTTGGTATCTGAAGAGCCTGCCAAGGAAAATGCACTGCCTACAGCTTAGTTTTATAAACCGCAGGCTGAGGGACCAGCGGTGGGATCCCAGAGGGCCAGATCCACTCCAGTAAACAAGATCCTTTGGGAACCTGGCAGGCGAGGGAGGTGTGGTGTCCGGTCCGGCGGGAGATTCGGGGCCGTGGCCCCTTGCAGCAATGGGAAGATCCATATCTGGAGGAGAAACGGCCGCCGGGCCGGTGCTGTTCCCACTCCTCCGGCCCCCAACCCTCGGCTCCCATTCCCCAAAAAGGAACTCACTGTTCTGGGGGCGACACACAAGGCGCCTTGCACCCCAGCCGACAAAGCTGTCCGGAGGGAAAGAGCTCCCCCTGACTCTTTCGGCCCCCACCAGCCCAGTGTCTTAAACTCTAAAACCTGGAGAACAGAAACAGGAAGTCACCGGATCTTCCATGAAGGCCTTTGCCCGAGCCACTCTAGGAAACAGTGAGGCTAACTCTCTTTGATCTTAACCCTTAGGATCCCAGAGAAGAAGATGCTAGTGGATTTCCCTTCCTTGTGTTGTCTGTGATTCTTTGACTTACCTAGGATCCCAAGACGTATGTTAAGATCTTGTGCCTCACACCTATCAGGCGCCTTCTGATAGGGGGCTGACTGAAACTTATCCTTCCTCTGCTCATCACATTGATCACTATCACTAGAATCAAAATCAATGGACTATTTATTAAGCAGTTCAAATTCATGTTGTTCAAAGGTCCACTGCATTTGCCAAAATGAGACCCCCAAAAAAAAATGACAAAAATTAAAAACCATGGGAATTGTAATGTTTTTATGACTTCTGAGAGTGATGTAGGTTTTGAAGCTTACAAAATAAATGGGAAAGTATATACAAACACACCCCACAGGATGTGTCTCTGGCAAACATTCTTTCAGTTTTGTTTCTTGGTTTTTGTTTGTTTGTTGTGGTAAATATACATATAACAAAACAGTTGCCATTTCAGTATCTTTTACACATACAATTCAGTAACATCAATTATGTTCACTTTTTTGTACAACCATCACCACAATCCATTTCCAAACACTTCTTGGTTTTTAATCACTCTAAATTTATAAAATTTTAGAATTATAGAATATACAAGGTTTCTATTTAAGGTGATAAAAATGTCACAAAATTAGATAGTGGTGATGGTTACACAACTCGAAATGTGTTAAAAATTACTGAATTGTACACTTAAAGGGATAAATTTTATACTGTGTGAATTACATCTCAATAAAACTTATAAATACTATAGAATGTAGATATATTTCAAAGAGCCATGATGCAGTGGTCAAGTGCTCACCTGCTAACTGAAAGGCTGTCAGTTTGAATGCACCAGCTGTTCTGTGGGAGAAAGATGTGGCAGTGTGCTTCCAGCAAAATAACATCCTTGCAAATCCTATGGGGGCAGTTCTACTCTGTCCAATAGGGTCACTGAGCTAGAGTTGACACCAATGGATTACATATATTTCAATATATTTATGTAGGAAAAATGTACATTAATACCCAAAACTAAATACAGCACTTTTAACAAAATGGCATGCAAGAAAGTCTTGAGTTGCATTCCAGATACAATTGGTAGACCATCAGAAACACTGTGGTGGTGGTGGTGGTGGTGGTGGTAGGTTCATCAAGTTGGCTCTGGCTCATAGTGACCCCATGTACAACAGAACAAAATACTGCCTGGCCCTACACCATCCTCACAATTCTTGCTATGCTTGAAGTCAACATTGCAGCCACTGTGTCAATCCATCTCACTGAGGGTATTCCTCTTTTTTGTTGACCCTCCATTTTACCAAGCATGATATACTTCTCCAGGGAATGGTCCCCTCTGACAACATGACCAAAGTAGGTGAGACGAAGTCTGGCCATTCTTGCTTTTAAGGAGCATTCCGGCTGTACTTCCTCCAGGGCAGATTTGATGGTTCTTGTGGCAGTCCATGGTACTCTGAGTATTCTTCACCAACACCACAATTCAATGCATCAATTCATCAATTCTTCTGCAGTCTTCCTTGTTCATTGTCCAGTTTTCACATGCAGATGAGGTGATTGAAAATACCATGGCTTGGATTAGACTTCAAAGTGAAGTCTTTGCTTCTTAACATTTTAAAGAGGTCTTTTGCAGCAGATATGCCCAGTGCAACATGGTGGATGGCTGAAGTGGAAGGCCAATGGGATCCCTCACTGAAAATTGCAGAATTTTAGCAGACTAGCAGTCACGATTAGAGTAGACATTAATCATAGTGACTGACTTGCTCTTTTTCCCTGTCTTTTGCTTTCTTTTAAGTAAATAGAAAAGCCAACCTCTTTACAGATGCTGGGTTCTTTAGGTTTATTATTTTCATTTGCACATTCTTCTAAGCATAACCGTCTGCCACCACTGGTTTCAGCTGAGAACCATAATCTATGAAGCAAGATGACCCTCGGAAGAGGGACACAGAGTCCAGAGTCACCAGGGAAGAGAAGAACAAAGACATTCCTGGTAGTCCAAGGGATCTTCAACCCCCTTCCCATCTCCCTATATAATCACATTTACCCCTTTGCTCGAGGACACACATATTTTAGAGAAGTGATTCTCTCTGTTGCAACCAAAACGCCCAAGCAGTGTTCACTATGGAAGTAGATCACCCAATCTTCCTTCCAAGGAGTGGCTGGTGCATTTGAACCAACAGCCTTCTGGTTAGCAGTCAAATGCTTTAGGCACTAGGCCACCAGAGCTCCTTATTTTCTCCCTTAGAGAAAGTTAAAGGGGTCTGTGAAGCAGACACCTGAGGGCAAAGTCATCTGATCCCAGTCTAAGTTAGGAGATGAGTACCCTCTCAGACACCTTTGGTTTGGCAGAGGCCAGAAAGTTTCCCTGGGTTTTGCTAATGGCTCCCATAACGCTAGCTCCTGGGCACATTGCCCAGTTCACAACCTGGTAAACAGTCCAGTAAACCAGTTTCAGTTACCCTTTACCCCGACTGACAGAACACTCCAGAAAATAAAACATACAGAATCACAAAATTTTTTCATATAATATTAAGAACCTCTCAGACCTACTCTGAAGCCCAACCAAGGATGAGGGGCTCAAG